TTTAGAATGCATCATGAGCACAGCTACCCATCCACAAAAAAATAAAGCCACTGATTGAGTGTCCAGAAATTTTACAGGGCTGAAGTGGCAGCCCTAGTGGTAGCCCATTGATCTTCCTCAGCTGGCTGCTGCTGATGTCAGTTAAAGTTTTGTCATGTCAGGTCTGCTATTGTCCAGATGTTGTTTGTGAATCCTGTCTGGATCAGTAGCCATAGCAGCTAGTTTGTTCACAGTCAGTGTATGTGTGTGCCTGTGAGCCTTTCTGAAATATTTTTTGAAACTCATGTTACTGTTTTTTGAACATACCACCCCTGCGTGAAGCCTGGGTGGGATACAGTAACTCCTACAGCCCCACCTCTTCTAATTTAAAGCTGAACCGCTTTGACTCTTGATGACGTCACCAAGAGTCAAACTCTTACCAAACTGTGGACCCACAGAGTGCATTAAAGTCATTCTTTTTCAGTCAAATATGATCTCTCAGTGATGACGACATAGAATTTGACGCATAAAATCAGCTAACTATCCCTCTGAAGGAACCATGTGAGTAAATATGTGCTGATCCGTTCTGAGCGTAAGGTTGATGACATTCTTTTGGTGAGTCAGCTAAGACATGCTCTCCTTCAGGCCCAAATACATCAGCCCGACCACTCATGAGCAGAACACTAATTACAGCCGCAGACAGCCTGCCGCTGATAACATTTACTGAAGACTGAGCAAAGCGCTACAGCTCCTTTCAAAGCCAGCATTTGGGATTTTAATTTGCAGAAATGAAATGATAACTGCCGACTGGATCGCATTGTGCTGCACTCTATCGTATTTTTCTGCTGATTTCTGTTGATGAAGGGTGGGGGGTCTATAGCCCAGTTGACTCTCAGTACGTTTTGAGCATCTCCGCATTCAAAGCAGACAGAGGCGGAAGCGGCAGAGTTGGTGGGACGCGTCTTTGATCTGGCTCCCCACTCATCAGTGCAGATTAGAATATCAGACAGACTGCGGCGTGCCGGGCCTCAGAAGTAAGATCATTCGCTGCTTTCATTTCCACATGATCATCCAACTCCACCAACATAATTCTATTAAAGCAGTTGCGCCTCTCTCTCTCTCGCCGCCACCTCTCGGCCTGTTTGGGGCTGATATCGGAGTGCGTGTTGTCTTTGGCATGCAGCCGCCAAGGCCCTGACGGGAACTCGACCGGAATAAAAATCCATTTGTCAAAAGATTGAGCGGAGGAGATAGAGACGGAGACATATCAAAGATAGAGATAGAGAGAGAGAGAGAGAGAGAGAGAGAGAGAGAGAGAGAGAGAGACAGAGAGAGACAGAGAGAAAGAGAGAAAGAGAGGGGGAGAGAGAAAGGGAGACAGAGGGAGAGAGAGAGAGTAATGGACAAACACAATGAGAGTGATAGAAAGTGATAAAGACAGAGAAACAACAACAGGAGAATGAAGTGCAATAAGAGCACACGAAAAAGGGATGCATTGATTTTACTTGATTCACATGTGTACATCATTTCCACATGAATAAGGTATATGACATCCACCAACTTATCAGAAACAGTAGGTAAACTGAAAGACAAAATAGTGAATTGCAATTAATCATATTTGCCTTATTTGTTGCAATTTGGCTTAATGAGATAGAAAAACAGTGTATTTTGTAAATTGGATAAATACATGCTTTCTTATAAAGCAAATAAAAATGTTTCTGCATTAAACATTGTTATGGAATTACATACTCTAACTTGACAGTATCTGACTCTCAGTGTAAGCAAAATTATGTTGTAAAGACTTTGAGTGTGTCCCAGCCAATCAGATTTTAGACCCGGGCCTACCCGTCTCAACGCATACTGACTGTAATGACTGTGTAAGGGCTTAGCTACGAATCGAGAGCATTAAAAATTTGCCCAAACGGGTAACGACTCTAGGGGGCGTCTTACTCTGTGTAATACTGTAGATGTCTTGTGGATGCTCAGTATGTCTTTAAGTAACATTAAACTAAATATTTATTAAATGCAACTGAACTCTGAAGTTGAGTGTTGAAGATTCTATCAAATCTGTCCCCAACTCTAAAACTAACCCTAAACCTAACCTCAAGACAAAACCTACACCTACTCCTTAACCTAACCCTATCCATAATGTTGTTGATAATTAACTGGGTATCACCAGAAAGTTTGTTAATGATTGAAGTATCTGTAGATCATCTACAGGGGAGCATCCAAATAAACTGTGACCATTTTTAACAGTGTAAAATAAAATAACGTGGATACCAAAATTGGAACCTTATTTTTATGCTCTTTTACTTTGAAAGAGATGGTGGGCTTAGCCCCTCTAGCCCACTTACACTAGCTGCCCCTGCTGAAGTTACTGATATTGCTGACATCAGTGTTGTGTTTTTTGTTAATGTTACATCAGTAACAAATAAATTTACAGCATAAGAGTAGACAGAAATAACTGGTTTTATCAAGAGAACCATGGATGGAACTTGACATTTAAAGGCTATTTCTGAAGGAGTCATAGCAACAGCATGTGAGCAGCTGTAGAACTACCGATGGTGTTAACACGTTGTGTTAACATGTTCTTAATGTGTTAACATTGACATTGCTAGGTGATGTATTCATGCAGAAAATGATGTACGCATTTGAATCAAGTAAATCCACTTTTCGCAGCACAGGTCTCTGTGGAGGTTGAGGATGAGTGTGTTACACAGAGAGACAGAATCATAAGCACGACCATTGCCATTATGACATCCAGCAGTGTGTCTGCAATGGCTGTGCTAGAGAAGCTTTCAGAGTTTGTGGTTTGGTCCCAGTGACATCAAGGCCTCCCTACTACCCCCAGCTCAACACACATAAACGCAGCTAGTCTTTCTCCCCTCTGGCCACCCCCATGGGTGAAATGGTAAGCTGGCATTTAGAGACACAAAAACAACAAATGCAGAAAAGGCTTCGAATGCATCCCCTGATCTTTCTGTTTTCGGAAAAACTCTCAGCGGGGAAGGCGACAGAGGCAGAGAGGGAAGAAAGGCGAGAGGCCCCGAATGGAAGCGACATGCTCCTCTTGGCTAATTACCAGCGTCATTCCCATGCTGGGTTGGAAATGCCACCTCGGTGTTTCAGTGTGTCTTTTTGAAAGCAGTGAGAATGAATGCAGGGAAGGCTCTGACTGGCCTGTTCGCGACATGCCGCTCTCTTCCTCTCCTCATCTCTACCTGATTATCTGTGTTCTGCTGCCTCCTGCTGAATCTTACTGCAGTGTAAAACGCTAATGACGAATAATGTATTAAAGCTGTGCTCTACTAGAGGTGCTGATTTTTATCGAGTTTGACTGTATGAAACATAACACGCTGTCCGTGGTACACTCAGAGATTTTGCCTTTGTGTTCTTTAACACATTAAAATCTAGTGCCAGAATAGCTACAAAGCATGCATGACCATGCACAGCAAAATGTATCACCTTGCGGAATCGAAGTGTTCTGTGTGCTACCATGTTTTCTATCACTGTGTAAAAGAAGCACGTTACTATCTTTAACTGCTGGATGTACTGCGACCACGCAAGAATATTTAGAACAGAATTAATGTCGCTGAGGGCCTGATATTCTCTTGTTTCATCAGAAGAGCAATAAAGAGTGCCATGCAATAAAGTGTGAAGTATATTCCTATGTACATGTTAATGCTCAAAATGTAATTCATAACACAAACAAAGTAAAAATCTATGATTAGTAGATTAAATGACACAGAGATATTTGAATTATATCTGATTTTGTGCTTGATTTTGATTTTGGTCATGGCTGCATAGCAAGGGTTTTATGTTCATCAAGTTGTATGACTCGCATGTTTCTTTATGTATTGCAACATTTTGTAAGTTCCTTTTTCCTGTAGCCTTTCTCTACATCCACTAATACAATTCAACAATACTGCCACAGCTAATCTATGCCAGCGGTGTAGGAATGCAGTAAAATCGAAGTGCGTTATTGGAATGAAAATCATAAAGCTGGGTATGAGGACCATAATAGCACCATTGGCTACATTCCAATGTAACAAATTAGTTTTAAGAACAAATAGTCTATGAGATTGCATTTTCTTATCAACTTACTCTTTTGGTGAATTTTTTGAAACTTTCACATTTAGGCCTGTGTAAAATAACTAAATGACACTTTCATAGTGTTACATTGATTTGTAGTAAGGATGGTTCTTCAACGGTTCTTTAGTAAAGAAAATGGTTCTATAAAGAATCATGAACACTCAAAGAACCCTTTGCATGATTAAAGGATTCTTTGCATCATGAAAGGGTTCTTAGGTTGATGGAGAATGTGCTGTAGATGGTTCTATAAAGCACCCAAATTGGTTCTTCTATTGTTACAAGCTTGACATTGTAAAAAGAACCCTTTTTGGTGCTACATAGAACCCTTTTCAAAACATTTCTATATAGAACCATCTACAGCACATTCTGAAGAACCCTTTCATGGTGCAAAGAACCCTTCAATCATGCAAAGGATGCTTTGGGTGTTTATGATCTTTATAGAACCATTTTCTGTACTGAAGAACCCTTAAAGCTCCACCTTTTTAAGCGTGTAGATTTTATTGAACCCATATTGATTTTTCCCACATTTAAAAAAAAACAGCTTTAGATGACTAAATTGATGTACACAAAGTATACAATAGACATTCTACCCACCTATCAAGAAACCACTACATTATTGCTGTATACAATTCACTGGTGTGCAAACAGTGAAATCTTGCACTAATAAAAAGTGTGGAAGCTCAAACAATATGTGTGCTGACATTCACCCTTTGTATTTTCTCATTTTTTTTAAATTCAAATTTAAAAATCATTAATTTTTATTTATTATTTTTATTTTTTTTACAACAGATGTCTAAAGCCTTTGTAATGTGTTCAAACATTTTTTTTTAGCATTTTCATTGTCTACTGCACTGCACTTGACTCTGGAAGAATATGTACTACACTTTTGTTTAGTACTTTAGCTTTACTGGCCAGGAAAATTCTCTTACCTGTGTGAAGAAAGGTTCGTAGATCTCCACACCTTTGTCAGAACCTTGAGACAGCACGTCCCGGCCCCTGTGCCAGCTGTAGCGGACTGGAGGGTTGGAGTTGGCCACACAGCGGAGGAAGACTGTCCTCTCGTAGTAAAACTGCTCTTTGGCTTCTCCTATACTCTGATGAACTGTCACTACCGGGTCATCCAAGTCTGAGCAAAAACAAAAACACATTTCTGTTTTACACTACAGAAAAAGACAGTGTACAAAATGACTTTGGCAAAATCAAACTAAACATTTTAGCAGCATAAACTATTATCAACTGGTTCACAACAAATCACTATAATGGTTGTAATGAGTGTAATATTGTTAATATAATTGTATATTCATGAAACTGTGAAATTATAATTAACACAAGGAATTCATCCAGTAACAACACAGTTTAAACCAGTCCATTTACAGCAATTTCACAGATTTACCAAGTTTCTTTTTTGAGGAAGGATGTAAAAAGCATCTCACATATCAGATGTACCCCAACATGCAAACTTCAATTCCAAAAAGTGTTGAAATGATATGTGACATACTGATAAAAACAGAAAGCAGTGATTTGTACCGGTATCTAAACAAAAACAGTACAAAGACAATATATTTTATGTTTTCTCTTATCAACATCTATCAGCTGATTCTGAAACCTATAACACGTTCCAAAAGATGTGAAAACAGCAATTTAAGACTAGGAACACTGGAAAATTAGGAACTTCATTAACAGGTGATGCAATCATGCTTGTGTATAAATAGAGCATTCTGGAAAGGCTGAGTCCTTTATGAGCAAGGATGGGTCGAGGGTGGGCACAAATAATCCAACAGTTTAAGAACAACATTTCGCAACAAGGGGAAATTTTAGCTATTTCATCCCCTATGGTGAAAATAATATAATTAAAAGATTTAGGAATTCGAGACATTTCTGTGCATAAAGGGCAAGGCTGAAAACCATTTCTCTGTATGACTGAGACCTAAGATCCCTCAGACAGCAGTGCACTAAAACAGACATGCTTCTGTGATGATATCACCACATCAGGAATCCTTTAATTAACTAGTATCAATAAACGGTGTTCATCGCTGCATCCACAAACACAAATTAGGACTGTACTATGCACAGCGGAAACCAGAACCACCAGTGACTTCTCTGAGCTTGACTAAAATTGACACATTCTTAGTGGAAATGTGTTTTGTGGTCTCATGAGTCAATCTCTCAGACTGTTTGTGGAAATAATGGATGTCACATTCTCTAGGGCAAAGAAAAAGACCATTGTTGCTAGCATAAAGTTCAAAAGCAAGGGTTAATCTTGGTATAGGTGGTGTTAGCACCCATAGCATTGGTAACTTGCACATCTGTGAAAGCACCATTAACACTTTGTGCATTACGGAGAACAAAATACAACTACAAAGGCACTGTATGTTTATATAGCTAAAGATAGCAGAAGAGAGGCAAACAATTTTGTTTTTAAAAGTAGGTCAATTGGCGTCTTCAGTCCCAGATTATTGTGTGTTGTTGTATTGAGTGTTCTTAAGAGGTAAGATGATGTAAGTAGTAAACATGTCAACATCAAATTTATAATGAGCATATATTTACATTAAAAACAATACATTTCTTGAGGCCAAATATGAAATATCACATTGTTGTACTGTTTTCAACTTAATTTTGATCAAACGAATTTACTAATCTCCTCTTTTTTGGAATGGGGGTTTGTAAAATGAAGTATTTTCCTCAGAATGATAAGGCACACTTGGGATTTGGGTCTGAAATTCCAGAAAGAGAACAATACATTTCTTCTACTGTAATACTTCCTTTATGCCCAAAGGCAGCAGACACCTACATCAAATATGTAGCAGGTGGGATGGTAAGTGAAATGTTGCAATGGGGCAAATCACTCAGAATTTTCATTGCCTTTCCAGTGGAGGAAGAAAAAGAAATAATTTTAGAAGCTGCCAGGCTCCAATTCTATTTTTACCCTCCTCCCCAAGGGCACTCTGCCTTTCTTAATCAACGACCTGCAATGCCTATCCCTCTAGCTAGGACACCATGTGGGCACTGTGTGAGGTCTAAAGTAGACCTACAATACATTAACCTACATCCTTCACCAACTGTCAGATTCCATCCTCTAAAAAGCGTCTCAGATTCTCATCAGTTGAGGTTGGCCTTTTGACTTCACAAGTTCAATTATAAAGATGATCTGGGTGATGTGGGTTCTAGGCCTGACCAAGCATTTGCTTGCCTAAATTTAAATGGATCTTCAGTTAATAATTTTATACACTTGCCACATTAACTCTTGGCAAATGTCATTTATCATGAGTTTGATGTCATTTAATTTGCTAATGCTTGCCTCATAACCATATTTTTTTAAACTTGTCCATTTGTGCAACGCATGAACCAGACGAGACCCTTGGGTTCCACTCAGAGCGAGACACAATCAATTTACCAGGCCTTCTAATCAGGAGCTAAAGAGTCAGATGACCACTGAATAAAACACATTGAATTGGAATCAAAAATGATTAGTGTTGACCTTTTTCCTGGCCATGGAGCCCATAACCGTCTTAATAAACATCCTCCGCTCATGCCATTACGATTTAGAGAGGAAATACAGAACACGTTGAAAATGTTAATCAGTGGACGTACCCTTTAATTTAGCATCCCCTTTTCCCCCTCCTAAGGGTGAATGAAGATCCCAGCCTAATCAGGGAGTGCAGGGAGCCCACCAGAATGCTGATTCCTCACTTTCATTAAGGCACGTTCTGCCCTACAGCCCCTTAATCAAAATCTAGAGGCAGTCAATACTTCATCCAGGATCCATTACAGCCATGCAGGTAGGAGCAATTACCTTTAAGACGACGGCGGCGCGCTCAGAAGCGAGCGATAGAGTGGGGCCGTTTTGGCAGAGGCGATTGCTTTAAATAAATACACTGATTCATTACAGAGAAAGGAGGGACTGCGAAGCTTATCGGCACGCTTTGCACCATTCCTATTTGACCTAATACCTTTGATTACACAGCCAGGATAAGAACAAGGACAGCCACAGAAAGACTCGAACATCCCACCACGTGAACGTGCCACTGAAGCGAGATGGATGTAGGATTTAGCATGTCACTGCTGCATTACAGTCTTGTTGGAACGGGTCTTGCTATATCCTTTAACTGTGTTAGCGTGTGAGTGGCCGTGATGCAGCATACACAATTTGTCAGATGGCTATTTATAGGTAGGCATATGCAAAAAAGCAAGTGGGCGCTGGGAGCTACCAAAGATAAATATGTAAATATGTAAATGTGCACATTGGATTAAAAATACGATGAATTTCAAACAAAATCCAACCTCCACCCAACAACCATCAATCTTATGTTGCTACAAGTGCCCACATCGGTGCTGCGCAATTACCCATCATGCAAAGCAGGAGTCATGCTTGATGGATTTCCACGCTTAAATTCCGAGGCTGTAAGCAAAAAAGCATGTTTTTCGCTTGTCTTCTTACAATGCAGACATTACAGTATGCACAGGCCTAAAATAGTCTTGAGGGTGCCGTGCAGTTTCCCTTAAGTGCCCAATAGACCATCGTGTCTACTGACTTTACACTATGTGCTTCTGCCTGTTTTGGTAGCTTTAGTAAGACTTTAATGTAAATTTCTAGGTTAACCCCTTAAAATTCCAGGCCTATTACATACTAAGGCTTTTTATTCAGTAACTGCAGGGACTTCAATGTAAACTGCTTGAGCTATTCCTAGGTAATAGAAGTGTATAAGAAGTTTGGGCCCGTTGGCAGACCCTGGCCTTTTAAGAAGTTAAAAAGTCTTTTTAAAGCACAGTGAACTTAACTAGCTTGAGTCTAAAACAGTGGTCACAAATCCTGGTCCTGGAGATCTACCTTCCTGTGGACCAGTGGTTCCCAACTCTGGTCCTGGAGGACCCTCAGCCCTGCACATTTTAGCATTTGTTCTGCTTTCAACACACCTGATCCAACTAATCTGCTAATTAACAAGCCCTTCCTGAGCTGAAGTTGATGTGTTTTGGCAGGAAAACCCAAAAATATGCAGGGCTGGGAACCACTGCTGTGGACTGTGGTTAGACCCACAATCTGCCACACCTACTCTAGCATAGTAACTTCTTCAGAAGTTCTTGATTGGCTAGATCAAATGCATTACAGTAGTTATGGGGAGGCGGCAGCACGCAAGATGCAGGTTAGAGCTAAACTCTGCAGGAAAGTAGATCTCCATGGGGAAGAATGGTGACCACTGGACTAAAGGTTTGAACAAATAACCTCATGCATTTTGATTTTTGCTAAACAATTTTACACTTCATAATACTAACCACACCATGTGAAGGCTAGCCCTCACTGTGAGTAGGTTACATTGTTCATGCTGTTTACAAAACAATGATTAAAAATCATACAGATGTGAACACACAATGAAAAAGTTACTTCTACAGTACAAAAACTTCAGGATCAATCTTAAGAAATACGACTGGTTAACTACATATTCATGCTACGTTTTACCCTGCATTAGTTTGTTACATGTTAAATTTTATAGCATTTGTTACTTTTATAGTACAAAAACTTTAGGTTCAATCTTGAGAAATATGACTGCTGGCAAAATTTGCTATATGAATATGAGAAGATGGGAATATGAAAAGATGGGAAAACATGTTCTACTTCAACCTGTTTAACTGCATAAAATATTCATGTTACATCTTACCCTGCATTAGGTTGTGTCCTACTCTCCCCTATTCACACAAATCTGACCCAAAAGGAAAAAATATTTCATTGAAAAATCAGTGCATTTAGTAGCATTTTAAACAAACTGATACAAAACAGTGAAATAAACATGTCACTGCAGATTTGTTCAGTAATACAACAGTATCATGATAGCATTACCGTTAACTGTCGTAACAGATCGTCATGTTTGATCTTTTGATGGCTAACTAGAGTATAGAGTTGGGGTCTGTGTGGGGCTCTTTTTTCCACTCCCACCTGCTCCCGCAAGATTTCATCCTGTTCCTGTCTACTCCAGCCAACCACAGTAAGAGCCATTATCTACACATGGAGAAAACTTGAAACAGTGGTGAACCTTGCCAAGAGCACATAGACACCTCTTCCTGGAGGTCACAAAAGAACCCAGGCAAACATCTAAAGAACTGCAGGCCTCAGTTGCCTCAGTTAAGGTCAAT